AAGTGATTTCTGTTAAATAAAATATCTCCTTTTGAAGTGGACTTTGAGCTTTGTAACTTTGCAGATCTTTTTCATGGTCAAACAGCAAAATGACAGACTCAATAAAGTTGAAAACGTTAAAAAGCATAATAGCACCCCTTTAAATTGTAATGTTACTTAACAGTATTGCTTTTTTACTGTATTTTTGATCGAATACATGAGAGAAAGAGAGAGAGAGAGAGAAAAAGAAAAAAACTTTAGAATGGTACTGTTTATGCTTGGGTTATTTAGCACATCAGTTTAGAGACCTGCACTCCCGCGGGAGTACCGCGGGACCCACGGGACCCAACGCAACAGAGTTTTTTTTAATTTATCTGTTGCACGAAAGCAAAAAGAACAACTAATAGCAATTAACATTAAAATGATTGACATGCGCAAGCTAGGCAGAGTTTCTATTTATAACACGTGTTTAAAGGGTTGCGCAATGTAGCCAATCACAGACTCAGCTGTTGATTTCTGGAACGCAGTGGCCAATCAGAGGAGATTAATTTAGAATCTACTCACCGCAGTGCTGAAATTGCGTGCTCACGAATCCTCTCATTGCATACATGAAATGCTAAGTATTAATTAAAAGCTAATCAGTGAAGCTATCTTCCATTTCTTCACAAAAAACTACAGAAATGTAATTTCCACCACAGTCATTTCCACCACACTGCCCTCTGTGGTGGAAATGACAGCATGTGGTGGAAATGACATTTATGGTTACAAAGTACAATTGATATGGATTGCGAGAGTAGATTTGTGTAATACTTTTTATATTATAATATATTACAATACTTTTTATATTTATATTTATATTATGATATTATTTTTATTTCTAAATTATATTACTTTTATATTAATTGATTTCATTTTTATCTATTTTTAAGATGCCACCTAAGACAACAAAAGAAAGGTCACAGGCCTATAGGGACAAAATAAGTGGCTCTCTGGTTAAAACCATGAGCCGTGTTGGACTCGATCGTTTTTTTTTGGCCTCTAAGGGATGACATAATCTGGTACCAAACCAAGAATATCATAGGCCTTATCCCTGAGCCTGTACCAGTGACCAAACGTCACAAGGAAATTATTGTGTCTGTTTGGAAAGAAATCTGTGAAACACTTAATTAGATTTGGCCTTGAATCACATCACACACACACGCACGCATGCGCAAACGCTCTCTCTCTCACACACATGCAAACATACATACACTCACACATTCAAGGTGCTCAAAATTTTCCACATTCCACATCTCTGTTTAAATGATACAGTTTCAGGTGTTCTTTACAGTTACTCTTTACAGAAGATGGGTGTTCATTTAAGAGACCAATGAGAACATTTCAGTATCAAACTCTCACAATTATATAGCCTCATTGGGACAAAACATGAATGTCGCAGGCGGGAGCGGGACCGGGACCAGATAAGATATATTTCTGTGGGAGCGGGACTGAAAAATCCGTCCCGCGCCGGTCTCTACTTCAGTTTACTGGTGTTCATTTACTGCTTCTGCAGCTCAAACATGTAAATCCACAACGCTATTGACTTTCAATGGGTTGTATAACAGTCATATTTATTCTAAATGTATTATCCCGGTGTGCACTTTTATTTCCAAAAATTGTGTGTAAGATCAGCCAATCAGATTAGTTATTTCCAAAAATTGTTTTCTAGTTTTGCATGCGGTATGCATTATGCATCAGACAGTCCATGAGCAGGCTGTAGTCGACCTGTGAGACTGTGAGGCTTTGCCATGAGACTCGTATGGCCTTAGAAAGTCTATTTCTGACAAAGACTGAGACAACAAGGCGAGAAGATGCTCTCTTCTTCCTCTATCATTCTGTTTAACACCACCTTTGAAGCACTTCTCCCCTGATGTGCCCATTCATGTATCTAAATTGCACATTGAATCTGGAGTCTATGTACTAACTCCTGCGCGTGCACTTGTAACACACAGAATGGAAAACACATGCCCTCAGCCATGATAAGAGGAGCTTTAATATTCTCATTAAATTTTAGACAACCACAGCTGCTATCAAAGCACCACAGAAATAAAGTGATGGACAAAACAACAACTGCAGAGGACAGACCGACTGCCTATGCAGACACAACGGCAAACAAAAGAGAACAAAACAAACAAACACTGGAAAGTTACCGTGATTAAAAAAAAGCACTGCTGGTCCTGGAGAATAACAGGTCTTGGCAGACATTTTGACTGCTTAACACTGAGGCTCCTGGCAGAATGGGAAAGGTGATGCAGCGAGGGTGTACAGCAGATGTGCTGATTAGCAGGTGCAAGCCAACCAGCATCTGCACACCCGTCTGTGTGGGCTTCATAACAATTATCTCCACCGAGCACGAAATATCCTGCTTGCTCAAGTTAAGACTAGAAGAACAGAACCTACTTTTCAAGAATAATTTGTAACGTGTGGCTACTTATCAAACATTCATAATGAATGAGATGGACAGTTTATAATTTAAACATCTGGGAGAACAGTCATTTTCGTAATGAATGGGGTTTGCTGGATTTTATTGCTGAGGGTCCACTTCAACTGTAGGTACAGCAGAAGATTAGGACTCAGCCGATGTATCAATATGGAACTATCCTATTTAATTTCTTGTCTTTATCTTACTCTTATTCTCCAATGTTGGAATTCGCTGCAGTAGATGGAAGTGAGTGGGGTGGAGGGGGATTCGGGATCTGCCACAAGGACTTGTTAAGTGTGATCTGGAGGACACAGTCTCACATGGTGCAGTTGGGATCTCTGCAAAGTCTGTCACACTTCTAGAATTACACAAACTTAATTGAAGAAACTGTAAGAGAACTAGAGGGTCAATAATGGAAGCCATCAGTGAAAGTGCCTTTAAAAGATCACTGGCCTAGTTAACATATTGGAAGATATAAAATACTTAATACAGTAGTGAACTTGTACTGTAATATTAGTTTAGGAGCTCAAGTTTTCCACAACTAGGACAGTTTTTATATTGTTAAATGCTGAAACATGATTAAATATATATAATGTGGTTAAATTTTGTTTAATTTTACACTCTCGAGTCAACTAAAATGTGACCCATGCTGGCAAAATGAGTCGGAATGCTACAGGCAAAAAAAAAGTGAAAAATTTTGAATTTGAGGTTTTCACAAAAATGAGTCCATTAAGCCCGCATCTAGTGATCCCAATGCTCCAAATAGTAATTCAGCATCTAAAATGATGGGTATTTGTACGTTTTCTGAGGGGAGTACCTTTTCTCCACTTGCTTCTCGCGCTGAATGTCATCCGAAGCGCCCGCATGAAAGATCCCGATAAATATACACATATACACAGAATTACAGTATTTCAGTTTGCACGCAAACATAATCTGCTATGTCTTAAGTGAACGTTTGTGGAACTGTTGGGGGAAAACATCTGATGTAACATTATATTAGATCCGTGCATTACACTACATCTTAATAAAGGCCGTCGGTCTCATTAATGTTAATCTAACAATAAAAGAGGGAATCACTTGCTGCTCTTGATTAAACTGCTTTTATAGTTTTAATAATCAATTTATTTGTAATGAACACACTGAAGTGATTTTTACATTTGATTATTTGTTTTTCTTACTGGAATGTTTTTGTTTAGATGTAAAATGGAAAAGGTAATGCATTATTTGTTTCTTTCTTATATTTGTTCTACTGCTTTTTTGCATATGTTCATATTTATAATAACAAAGATAACATAAAAATAGCTGTATTGTGATTATTAATATAGTAATTGTTATTAAGAAAAGAAGTGGAGGAAAAGATACAGTGTTGCTAGGTGATTTTGCTTTGGAACCTTCAGAAAACTTGAACTCGATTTTTTTTGTAATTAAGTTTGCTGAAACTGTCAACTAAGCTCAGTCATTTTTCGTCCAATTCCAACAAAGCATACGTCATTTTGTTGGTCTTTTAATGAAGAATGTGAAATTAAAAATAACTAATTTTTTGAAAATGTGCTCATTGTGACTCATTTTGCCAGCACAGGTCACAAATGTTATTTTCATTTATACAATCAGATGCCACTATAGGCAGATAGCTTACTGTTGGATTTTCAGTCAAATTTTGACAACATGTATTGAATTAGGCAACTTTTTTAAAGAACTGCATTTACAGTACTGTATAAAATATATTAACAGATACAATCATGTATGCAATTGATCCATTCTGTTCATGTGGTTCATAATATTCATAATTTACAATTCAGCAGAAATTGTTGGTTTTCTAAAGTGCAGAATCAGGGAAACTGGACCTCAGCTCGAGAAATATTTACCCCTTTATGTCGACACTAGTTGAGTTGATGTGCAAAGCAGCTACTGTGTATGCAGTGCTGTATTCTGAAGTTCATTTGAAACAGGCTCACACCTTATTGAACGCCATTGCATTTTACTGTAGTTGTCAGATGCAATAAGACTCACAGCTTGGGATCTTTTGATTGCCAGTCATGTATAACCATTCTAGTCATTCATTTGACAAGCGCATATGCCCAAGCTATTTACACAGGTAAACTCGAATAAAGATTGATCCTATTAGCTGATGCTGCATTTCTTGGTAGTGCAACTTCTTTGTTTTAACACCCACCTCCTGTATTTCTCTCTCTTTTGCAGTATCAGCCAGCGATTGCGATTCGGAGCAGAATGCAGAGATCACATACTACACGCTTAGTCCAGATTTCATCATTTCAGCCCATGGCACCATATTCCCGGCAGGCCCTCTGGATTACGAGAGGCCCAACCACCTGTATGAATTCGTAGTGATGGCGGTGGATAAGGGCGAGGTGCCCCGCACCGGCACGGCCACTGTGCGTCTTCGTATGGCCAATGTCAACGACGAGCCTCCGGAGTTCTCGCAGCCTGTGTGAGTTCTTTATCTCTGCTGCCGCTCCTCAGCCTCATCCCATGACCCTGTGAGGAACGTGATAATGGAGGCCCGTTTTTTTTATTCGCCCGTAAGCAGCAAACATTTTAAAGGGCCAAGATATTGTTATCAGGCTAGCAGTTAACATTTTAATTAATGTTATTTTTTTCCCCAAAATCCCTTCTCTGTGTATTTCCAGTGTGTTGTCGTGGGTTCATATCTACACTAACTGCATGTTCACATCTGGCACTTCCTAACATGTACCAATGCTTTCCTAATGTCTCACAGTCTTGCTGTGTCTGTCTGTATGACAAGAATGAAATATAGTTCAAATATAGTGTGTTTTCAGTTGACAGCTATTGTAACATCTGGACTTCAGATTAGATATATACAGTGTGTATATATTAGGGGTTGAACGACTTCTGATTTTTTGAAGTCGACTTTTATGTGATGAAAGTCGAGTCGAAGTCGACTAGTCGCTGATGACGTCATTAATGAACAAATAAGTCTGGAGCTGTGA